ATAAAATATGTTTTCAAGAATATATTCTATAATAAATATATACTCTATATTATTAATAAATTATTATTTTATTTAAATACTAAATACAATTAAATTTTCCAAGCAAATTTGTCTGAAATACGGTTTAAGAAATAGTGTTTTTAAATGCAGCTTGAACATCATAGAAAATGACTACAGCATCTTCAGATAAGGCTTCAACATCATTAGGATAGACTACAATATCTTCAGATAAAGCTTCAACATTATCAGAAAAGGCTTTAGAGTTCTCAAGTAAGGTTTCAACAGTATCGGGAAGAACTTCAGCATCATATATCAAGGTTTTAACGTCTTTGTGCAAGGTTTTGTGCCAGGCTTTAGTGTAAACACCACTGTAGTATTCTTTATCCGAAGTATATTCCAAGCTGATATCACTGTCGCAAACTATAGTCTCATAAGGTAAGTTTATTGATGTGCTTTTACTATTTAATTTTTTATGGTTATAGAAAAGTGCTCATAGTGTTTGTATTAGTAAATAGCAACAAAAAGAAAAAAAAAAGCACAGATGACTTGTGCTATTTATATGAGAGTGGATTACTATAATTATTAGTATAATATAAACAAACTACTAGAACTTTAACTTGTGGGGTTAAATCTGATTTATCTTGCTGTTATTGTAAACAAACAGCTGGATTTAAATTTAACTTTATTGTTGTTATTGTAAAAAAGCAGTTGGGTTTGAATTTGAAACCTATATATGCAGACTATTGTATAATTTAATAAGATTCTGTGACTAGAGTACAATATATTACAATATATTGCCCAGTGCAATATGTTGCCTGGTGCAATATTTTATAAATTCTTTTTTTAATTTAAGTATTTAATATAGCAATTTAATAATTTATTTTATTTGATTAATTTGCATATATAAAAATTTATTAATCTAAGTATTCAAAACAATTTTAATTTATTCGTATTTATTGTAACAAATTAAAATAAAATCAAATTAAAATAAAATATTTTTATTTTTTAAAGAAAATTTAAAATTTTTTAAATAATATTTTTGAAGATTTTTTTTAGTATTAAAGACAAGGTTGAGGGTTAGAATTATTAAAAAAAGAGTATATATAGATTTTATAAGCTTTAAAAGTAAGTAAAAGAGGTTTTCAATTTTATTTTAATCTGATTTTATTTTAATCTGTAATATTTATTATTTAATTTAATTTTGTTTGTATTAATTTAGTATAAATTAATATTGTTTACTACAAAGCTAATTTAATCTTTATGGTTTATATATATTGAAATTATTACAAGATAAGTTATATATATTAGATTACTAATTTCATATTCTACTGCAATAATAAGATACAACCCTAATAGTACTATAAAAAGTTATATTTTATATTTGTAGTTTTTTAAAATAAGCTATTCAATTTTATAAATATTTATTATTTTATTTATATTAATTGAAGTAAGTATAAAAAAATTTATTAATCCAAATATTTAATATAAAAGCTATTTAAATTATAAATTTTTATAGTCTATTTTTTATTATAATAATTTAGATAAGAGACATTACAAAAATCAAATAATTTTTTAAAGAGAAAAAAAGTAAAAAAAATTAAAATTATATATAAAAATCTGATTTTTTTATATTAAAAGGGTGAGAGAAGTAAGCTTCTAATAAAAAATAATTAGATGATAAATGATACTGCCCTAAGTATAAAAAAAATTTATTAATATCCCTTAAATTATAACACAGACAAATTTGTCTGTATTTATTTTTTTAAAATCTAATTTTTTAATAAAATCTTAAATATTAATTTTAACTAGAGTTCCAATCTAGATAAATCTGTCATCCATTTATCTATATCTAATTATTCGGATAATCCAAATTGCTTGGATATCCAGATAATCTGACAGGTAATCAGATAATTATCTGGATATTAATAGTAAAACAGATATCCAAATAAATTCAGATTTGAATATCTGATAAATAAATGGATAAACAGATAATAGATAGAAATACTAATTTTAACAATATACTTTCTAAGTAAAATATATTTTAAAAGATCTACTTTATTAACTTTGTTATGAAAATTTTTTAAAATTATTAAAAAACTTTTAATTAATTAAAGTTTAAAGTTTGTGTAATATTAGGGTTTACTATTA